GTGCCCATCAATCAAGGAATGGATAAGAAAGATGTCATATTTTTATACAATGGAGTTGTACTCAGCTATAAAAAGATTGCATCCAGACTTTTATAAGTAAATGAACACAACTTGAGACCATACTCATATGTGAAATAAATTAAACTCACATGTGTAAATACCATATTGTCTCTCTAGTGTAAGAAATTGAAAAGCTATATAAGATCCAAAATCTACAATAAGTATTATGTAAGGGTAAGAAACTGCTCAAAGAAGAAAAAAATTGGGATACGGGAAAGGAGGAAAGAAGGAAGGGAAAAGGTGAAGACATAAAAATGTGTATATAAATATATATGATAGCTAAAATAACTATATTACTAATTGTGTTAGTTATTGAAAAAGAATAGTTAGTATTCATGTGATTAGATCAATTTTAAATGTCTGTTTCTGTTATTCTAAAAAACTCTTTTGAAGATAATAATATGCAATATTACAACCATTGTCAAATTTCTATCATCTTGTTTTTTAAACCTATATTGTTATTTTATTGAGATTGTTAATGTTTGTTTGTCTCTTTTGCTTTTCGTTTTTCTTTTCTCTTAAATAAATTTTTAAAAAGTCAGCCTACAAAGTATATAGTATTTGAATGATATATCAGTAAAGTTTTTGAAGAAGCAAAATCAAGGGGCTGAGGATGTGGCTGATGTGTCTCAATGGTAGAGCTCTTGCCTTGCCTGGGTTTGATCCTCAGCACCACCAGCAAAAAGCAAAAAACCAAAAACCAAAAAACAAAAAAAAAAATGAAAGAAAAAATCGGGGTTCAGTGGTAGAGCACTTGCTTAGCATGTACAAATCTCTGGATTCAATCTCTAGCACTGAAAACAAGCAAAGGAAAAGAAAAATATCAGCATGCATCCAGCAACCAGAAATTGTTTCTACATATCAGTCACTCTTTTGATCAAAGGAACTAAGCCTCCTTGGACAAGTGACAGATACTAGATCTTAAGGGAAGAAAAGAGGAGACTGGAGAATTTTCTGACACCAGAAGTGAAGGAAGTGCTACAGAAACACAAGGAGCTAAGCTGAAGGAACACCCCATTGGCTGCAGGTGGAATAATTCAAGCAACAAAATAAATAATGTAGAATTAGATTATAATTGCATTCATAAAATAAATCTAAGTACACACTGATATAAATAAATAATTGAATAAGTGAATAAAAAGATGGAATGAGAGAAATCTTCTTTGGGGAATCCAAAAAATGTATATGGATACTCCTCCACCAGTCTCAAAGTAAGTAGAGCTTAATTCCTGCTATGCTTTCTTGAGGGTGATCTGGACATGGTAATGCTTTCCCAAAAAGCACATTGTAGAAAGGGGAAATAGCAGCTTAACAGTGGAGAGATCTGGCAGGTGTCAAGGTTGACATCATGAGCGATAAGTTATATTGATGTCTGTGGCTGGGGATTTAGCTCAGCGGCATAAGTGCCTGCCTTATAAGCAGGCAGTCATGAGTTCGATCCCTGATGCTGATAAAAAGGAAAAAGGCAAAAAAAAAGTTATATTGATGTCACATGGGCCCTTGTGAAGATAGATGATAAAGACACTTCATCTCTGCGATCTTCCATATCTTCAACCTTCATCTGAAAATTAAAAAAAAAATCAGGTAAATCCAAATGCAGGGACGTTTTACAAAATTCCTGAATAGTGTTCTTCAAATCTTTCAGGTTTCACTAGACAAGGAAACCAAATAAGTAGAGACTGAGAAACAGTCACAGACCCACAGACCAGAGAAGACTAAGGAGACAGGACAATGAAAAGCAATATGGGTTACTGGATGGATCTTGGTATAGGAAAAAGATATTCATAAGAAAATGAGTGAAATCCAAATAAAACCTTAAATTTATTATATAGTGATGCACCAATACCCCAATTTTGGTAAATGTTTCAAGGTCATAAAAGATGGTATTGTGAGAGAAAACTAGGTGAAGGATAAATGAAAATTTCTGTACTGTCTATGTAACTTTTTTGTAAAGTCTAATATTATTGTAAAATAAAAATATATTTAGAATATAAAATGTAAAAGAAAAGTCAGAAACAACTGACTATCAGTGTGTGGAACAATTAGAATTTTCATACATTGCTGATAGATATGTAAAGTCTACAACCAGTCTGGAAAACTATGAAATACATGCCCACCATATAACTCAGCCATTGATGGTACAACTAGGCGTTTATCCAAGAGAAAATAAAATATGTACAAAAAGACTTGTATAAGAATGCTCATAGGCATTTCATTCACAATAGACCAAAACCAGAAATAATCATTCGTCAATGAGTGGATAAACAAAACAAAACATATTCATATGATGAACTACCAGTCAGCATTTAAAACGGTTGTCAAAAAGGTACAGGGATTATCTGGGAAGCGCAGAGAGGAAACTTTGAGTGAAAGGTTTTATGTATTGATTGTGGCAGTAGTTACATAGGTGCATATGTGCATTTAAAATAAATACACTGTTGGGAAATAGTTGTTCAAATGATCTAAAATTTGAGTTAGGCACATGTCTGTAACCTAGCACTCTGGGAGGCTGAGGTGGGAGGATCGAAAGTTTGAAACTAGGCCAGACAACTTAGTGACTTGGTAAAACCCTGTCTCAAAGTAAATAATTTTTTAAAAGGGTCTGGAAATGTAGCTCAGTATGAAGGCCCTGAATTCAACCCTCAGTGGAAAAAAAAACCCAAAAAGAAAGAAAAGAAAAGAAAAGAAAGAAAGAATATTCAACTAGGTAAGAAGAATACTAAGAGACCCATTGTATAAATAGTGACAATAGTTAGTAACCATATATTGTATTATTGAAAATTTCCAAGGGAATAGTTTTTAAGAGTTCTCACTGCAAAAAATAAGAATGTGAGTGGCACATATGTTAATTAGCTTAGTTTAGCCATTCCATAATGTATGTATATTTCAAACGGCACATCCATGGTAAATAAGTGCAATTGTTGGTCAATTTAAAATTTTTTAATTATTTTAACCATGAAAATTAAAATACATAAAATAAAATTGGCATATCATATGTAAATTATAGCACAATAAAGTAAGTTAAGAAGTGTGATGATAAATTTTATGTGTCAACTTGACTAAACTCAAGTACCCAAATATTTGGTTAAACATGATTCTAGATATTCCTGGGAAGGTGTTTATTAGATGAGACTAACATTTTAATCAATACATTTTGAATAAAGCAGATTGCCCTCCATAATACACCTGGGTTTTATCCACTCAGTGGAATGCCTTAAGAGATAAAATTTGACTTTCGAGAGAAGAGTTATTTCTGCATGTTGATTGTCTTTGAACTTGAACTGCAACTCTTTCTGCTGCCTGGCCTATCCTGCAGACTTTGGGCTTGCTTCTTGCCAACACATTCATTCCTTCCATTAAAATCTCACTCTCCATCTGTCACTCTCTTGCTCCTTCTCCTCTATTTCTCTGTAAAACCCTGATTAAGAGCTCTTCCCTATGATTCTTGTGGTCTTCGAGAGGGAAGACCAACACGGCCACAGAATAAACACGAGAACCAGTCTGAAATCTCTTCTCATGTCTCACCTCTAGTTTCTCTGCCTACAAGATTAATATTTGCTGAATGATTCAGAGTTACTGGGGAACGTGGGGGGTTGTTTTATGGAGAATGAGTTCTGATTCAGTTAAAAGATACTGTCAGAATGCACAGCCTGACTTCTGACTCATTTTCAAATTCACCCACAGTAGTTCTTGTGCATGTATGTGTGTGTGTGTGTGTGTGTCTGTCTTTTTTTTTTTTTTTTTTTTTTGGTATCAGGGATTGCATTCACGACCTTGCGCTGGCAGATGCTTATGTCACTGACCTATATCCCCACACACACACACATTGTGTGTGTCTCTTAACTGTCATCAACACATTAACTCTTCCAGACTTGATTTGCACATTATCCTATTTTTAAAATCTTTGCAGAAATGCATTCCCTTTGTCTCTGTTTCAGGAATTCCCTATGAGCAGGACATGTTGTATAAATATGATCAGAGAACCCTGAAGTTTTCTCACCTTTCTGCTTTGACTTTACTGAGCTCTGGCTCAGTAAGCCAGAAGTTTTCTCACCTTTCTGCTTTGATTTTATTGAGCTCTGAGTGATGTAATACTTCTGTCTCTTTGAGAAAGCTTACTGGGTCCTGTTTTACAGGTCATTTCTGCAATTGATTTTTGATTCACTCCTAATTTGTGTAATTTTTATAGTTGTAATTTTTGATTCTTTATACACGTAAGTGTTCCTGATTCCAAGGTAAGCATTGGTGGCAAATGAGATTATTTTTGGTAACCCTACTTTTATTCTGGCATTTAAATTTTATCCCTTCCAAAAAAGTAATAAGAACTGTGGGAGCAACAAAACCCAAAATGGGTAATTGTCATTGTACAAAAGAGAGGAAAAGAAAGTGCTCTAAACGATATAACTGCATGTATATATAAGTGTATAAGATAGATAATGATATCACTGAGTTTTGTTGGATCATTGAACAGAACTATTTGCAGTCTCACTGTTGGAATGTCCACTTTACAAGCTTTAATTTTGTGACTTGAACAATTATTTCTAAGATGACAATATGTAATCCATTAACTAGCAATTTCCTACTGTTTATTTTTTTCTGTAAATCCGTATAACTTGTACCCTTTCTCTGCTTTTTTTTTCCTCCTTAAATAATTTTTTTAAAAAAATTTTATGTGGTAAGTATTTTGGTTTCAAAGAGAAATGCTGGATGTGGCACCAAACATTTAGTTAACAAAGGATTTTGTTGGAAATCCATATGCTATAAAATTTAAATAGAACTCTAAGGATACAAGGAGAAAAAAACAAACAAAAAACTTGAGTGTTTGTCCCATATTGGTAACTAATGTGACTTTGCTTACAGATACGTACCAACCTGGCCAATTTAATTATGTTTGTATTTCAGTCAGTGCTTCCTCTTAAAATTATCTTTTATCTTCACAGGGCAAATCATACCCCTTCAGGGGCCCATTCCCACCTGTGTGGAATCCAATTTCCTACCTAGATCATAACAACCTTTGGAGGACAATGGATGATATGGGGAAAGAGGTAAATCTTCCTAAAGTGTCTTTGACTATATTGATATTTTTCATGACAAGTTTAATCCTTAAGGGAAGAAAGGTGCAATGTATCACTCATCTCTTGGGCCAAATATATTGCTGGGTGCATAGTAGCAATCAGTAAAAATTTGTGAAATGAATTAATGAACCTGTTTCTGACTTCTAAAAAAATGAGGGACCAAACAGATTGCTATTGTAAACTACTGGTGAATAGGAAGAAGAATATATATCACTCAATCTTCATGGGGTGATGTTTCTAATTTAGAAAATCTTTAGAACACAATAGCACAAGATATCTGCGTCTTTGATTCTCTATCATATCTAAACCCGCAGCCCACACATTCAAAGTTTTAGTGAAAACTTCTACTTAGAAGTGACTTGGTGTAGCTGTCTAATAATTGTTAAAGAGTTGAGTTTGTGACTATTCTGTGTAAATGAGTAACTTTAGCAAAGTAGTCCCTCTTTAGCCATGGTTTCACTTTCTGTAGTTTCAATTACCCACTGTCAACAGTGGTTTGACAGTGCTAAGTGGAAAATTATAGAAATAAACAGATAGACCACAGTTACATAACTTTTTTTTAGTTACATAACTTTCAATATAATATATATCTAAATCATTCTATTTTATTAGTGTTATTAATCTCTTACTGAGCCTAGTTATTAAATTAAATTTTATTGTAGATGTGTATGTATGGGAAAAAGAGTATGTGTATAGAGTTTAGTACCATCTATATTTTGAGACATCTTGGGATGTTGGATGGATTAGAGAGAACTACTTACTGCAATCCATATTTGGAAATAGCCATTTACAATACATCTTTGTTTATTGTGAAGGAAGTGCAAATGAAATATAAATCAACTGATATAGATCTGTTGTTGCAAAGCTACACAGACAACGTTTATGAGATGAAAGGTATTATTGGGGGAATTTGAAAACACATTTTTTTCAAGTGAGAAAATCTCAAATAATGCTTGAATAGTTATCGAAGATGGAAATTACCTTTGTCTTTCTCCTTCGACTCTTTCTCTGTATGTAGATCCCCAGTGATGCCCCATGGAAGGCCCCCCTTGCAGAAGAGTGGGACCACATGACCATGAAGGAGCTTCTGAACAAGATCTGCTGGACTAAGTGAGACTCAACATGCGGCACGGGTGTTTATTGTGATCATCTTTCAGGTTTATTTAGCGGTAGCATTCATTGGGGATGGGACACATAATTGCTCTGTGTCTCAAACCACACCACTGGCCAAGTGAAATGCTGAAAAATATTGGAACTGTGTGCAACTCTAAAGATAGCTAATGCATCCAAATTATTTCTTTGAAGTAATGTTGCATCCTAAAAATGATATTGTTAACAACTACTCAGGTCCATATATGCTCAGGTCCACTTCTCACTGCTGACCAAGTCAAAGGACCAATCCATTTACTTTTGTGAATTGAAGAAAGGCTTTATTCAAAGATAGCTCTAAGGAGAATAGAGGGACCTTATTTGCCTCTGTCTTAGTTAATTTTTCCCCATTGTTGAGACAAAATACCTGACGCTCAAAGTTAGGGAAGGAAAGGTTTATTTCTTACAGTTCTTGGAGGTTTTAGTCCATACTCGGCTCCAAAGCAGCATGTTGTGGCGCCAAAGGCAGCATGGCATGGAGGGGCAGCCCTTCATGGCCAGCTACAAACAGCAAGGTGCGAACCAGCAAGAGAGATAAGCCTTCTTCCCACCCATACAGCCCTTTCCGGCTCTACCCCTAGGCGGGTGTAGAACTCACACCACCACTCCAAGTGATAGACAACGAACTGATCACAAAGACTAGATTTGGTCGAGTCCATAACTGCATGAGGCTTGGAAGCCATTGACACAAATCAGTGATATAGCCTCAAATCAACATCTCCCTGTGTACAGATGTGCAAGCATCTCCTACAGCAAAGAACAAAGAGGAGAGGAAAATACAGTGAGATAATACATATCCCCAAGCTTGTTTAATCTCTCCTGTACCCTGACCTTCTGGAGCCAAGATTTGCCTATTCTTCCCAGTTATGTAGGCTGGGGGAGGGCTTTAGTTATACCATTGGCATAAAGATGTTTGGAGAAGCAGATCTCATGGTGCCAACATTTGCATATTCTGTCCATTTATCTGGGCTGAGAAGAGGGGGAGATGGCATTTATGCTCTAGATCTAAAGAAGTTTGAAGAAACCACTTGTATCTAAAGGAAAAAATTTAACCTTATAGTTCTATTTTGTCATGCTAGCTTCATGAAGTCCTCAGAACATGTGCTACCTCCTTATAGAGCAGTATAAAGGCCATTGGTAAATGAAGATCTCATTTATCAGGTTGCTATTATAGGGATATCTTCGTACTCCTGACTGGTAGTCAGCTGCAGAGATGACTAACTTATGCTTTTGGAACACTTTTTGTGATGTTGTGCAACTCGAAGAATTTGAACAGGACCTTCTAGGCAGTTCACAACTATACGGGGAAATGTGACTGGACCTACTGCTGTCCTTTAATGAAAAACCTGTAGAGTTGAAAGCAAGCATTTATGAATCAAACGTAATAATCCTGTTGGTGACACTGGAGCCTATAAGAAAATTGTGGAGGCCTTTTAGATGTTCCCTGCTGCTCTTGGAAAGCAGGGAAAGTGGAAAGGATTGTGAGGGGTTCCAATTCAAGTGCATGGTGAGTTTGTGGTCCACAGAAAAGAGAGATGGAAGGTAAATCCAAAGAGACTGTTTATGTTAAACAACTGTAGTCAAAGCCAGATGTGGTGGCACACTCCTGTAATCTCAGTATTCTGGGAGGCTGAGAGGGGAGGATCCCAAGTTTAAGGCCAGCCAGGGAAATTTAGAAATTTAGTATAACCAGGTCTGAAAATTTTAAAAATAAATGTTTTTAAAAGGCTGGGAATTTAGCTCAGTGTCAAGGTCCTGGGTCCTTCAGTATCACAAAAATCAAATCAAAACAAAATAAAAGCCAGTAGTTGCAAATATGTTTGATTCTGGGGTTGATGCTATCATTCTCTTGGTACTAGGGAGAGAAATAGGACACTGAAAATTAACTATGGAAACATTTAAGAATATCTATATCTACAATGTAGAAATAACCAAAAGATGTACAATGATATACTTCCTGATATAAAAAAATTAACTTCTAAAAATTTAACTTAGAATTTAGCTTTTAAAGCTGGGACTGGAAGCCCCATTTGACCCAGCTATTCCACTTCTAGGCATATTCCCAGAAGAACTGAAAGCATCATACCACAGTGATATATGTGCACCCATGTTTATAGCAGCATAATTTGTAATAGCCAGATCTTGGTGACTACTATTATGTTAGATTATCTGGGGATGAAACACAATGATGCTTAAATAGTTCGGTTCTGACCTGTGTTGTTCTAATACAATGTCCTCTTTTACCTCAATCCCATCCTTTTTTAAAAATTAATCTATTTTTTTCTTACATTTTTTTAATGAAGGGAAAACTAAATTAAAAAACAGCGGGACATATTATAGTAAGTTTTTTGTTTTCCTATTAACCTGATTTGTACCCCAGTATTGCTCTCCCCCATCTTGTTCTGTTTGATTATTCTATATTCTGTTTTGTTTGATAGTATGAAGTTTGAGGGTATAGGCAACCACTTTGAAGGCAATAAGATATACTATGACGCCCATTATGGTTTGACTATTATCTTTTTTGAAGTCCTGTAAGGTCTCCAGTGTAGGTTTTACTGGTCTTGTTCTGTACTGTTTTGATCAATTCTATTATACCTGACAATATAGGCAACTTTTTAAAAAAATATCATGAGGCACAATGGTAACCATTTTAGATCACCTGATATTCTATTTTTACATCATGTACTATGCCCATCCTTTTGTTCTAACCGACTCTGTTTTGTTTAGCCACGTTAGGTTTTATTCTCTCCAAAAAATAATAAGAATTGTGGGAGTAAAAAAACCCAAAATTGTAATTGTTATTAAAAAGAGAGGAAAGGAAGATGGTATAAGGGATATAACTGCATGTATGTTTGAGTGTGTAGGATGAAAATCTATATTACTGAACTTTTGTTGGATCGTTGATAGGCATTGTGTGCAATCTCATTGTATGAATGTTCACTTTACATGCTTTAATTTTATAATTTGGACAACTATTTCAAAGATGACAATATGGAACCTATTAACTAGTGATATCTTACTGTATTTTTTCCTTGAAATTCTGTATTATTTGTACCCTTTTACTGCTTTGTTTTTTTTTTATTTTATTTCCGTTCTTTTTCTCTCTTTAAATAATAAAAAAATTTTAAAAAAAGAATTTAGCTTTTAAAGGAGACTAAAATGAAGGAGGATTGTTGTAGTGTACAGGGAGGGAGAGAGGGAGAAAGACACTATCAAGCAACACTTTTCAAAATAAAAATAAAAATATCCAGTAGTAAAATATTGGCTGTGTTAATTCTACATCACCAAACAATGTAATACTCTAGAATCACTTAAAATAATGTTGTAGAGAAATATTTAATGATGAGAAATAATAATATTAAGCACTTAAGAAGGAAGTCATGAAATATTACAGTGGGATATATCATTTCATTCCTAAAAATAAAACTGCTTTCTATAAACTCTTAAAGCGATAGTAATCCATCACAATGTCTCTAACATTTAATACTACAATCTAAACACTTATATTAAAATGGCTTAGAAGACTTAATTAAATCATTGAAAATTCTTTGCCAAACATCATATTTCTTAGTTGCAGAATATTCCATGGAAAGTGAATGCCATAATATATTTGTCTATTATCTTTCTGTTGGACATCTTGATTACTTTTGTTTTTTCAATATTATCATTATTGTATAAAACTCTGTAATAAACATCCCCATATTTCTCCAAAGAAACCCATTCTGGAATAGTAAAATCATTTTATGCCATGAAATCAATGCCTAGTATTAACTGCATCCTTTTAAACATTTATGTAATGCTAGTTAACACTTCTTACAAGTATGTAGTCTGTAATGTAACTTATTTTGATTATAATCAAATTGTATGTTTATAATTCTATACTTTAATTTTTCAAACTATAGCGAGTATATAATTATCTGCATTTGCTTTATAACTGATATTATGAAAAGTTTTTCATAAATTTAGTTTTATTTTCTCCCCAGAGAGCTTCTTAGCTCCCAAAAGATAGAGCCAATTATATTTGGTATCATAGAGATCTGAAATTTTCTATGCCAGTCCTTGGTTTAGTCCTCCACTTAGTAAATACTTTAGTAAATACAGGTTGTTCACTGACTAAATGAAATATTTTGAGATATTAGGAGCTAACAAAAAGCAATTTTCTAAGTCAGGTTCACTTGCTGGTTTTAAGGAGGTCATCCCCACAATATGCAATCTATTGTGATTCAAACTAAAAAAAAATTATACATTTAAAAACAAATGTTGATCATTTTTTTCAGTTGCTGTCATTTTATAGCATGCTCTTCAGAAGCACAACTTATATTTTAAATATGATTACAAGTATGTGATCATTTTTAGAAAACCTATGCCTAGAAAAACACACATCAAATGAGACTAGTAATAATATTTTGGAGAAATACCATATTTCCAAAAAATAAGACCAGGTCTTATATTAATTATTTCTCAAAAAGACTCAATAGGGTTTGTTTTTGAGGAATGTCTAATTTTTCATTAACAACAATCTATTTATAATCATGTATTAAAATCTAAATTTATTCAAATACAGTCTTGCCATCTTCTTCTGGAACATTGTGGTAACTGTGAAAACCCCAAATTCCAGTTTGAATTTCCTGTGACTCTGTTTCCTGTAGAGGCACTCTCTAATGTCCAGCAATCAAGCTATCCTTAAATGTCTGCTTCCTTTTCATGTAGCTTTCTCATAGTGCATTGACAACACAGCTGTCAGTGATTTTGTTCCATAAATTATTCATCCAAGACTCAACCTCTTGCAGACTTAGCTTCATAAAGTTTCTGTTAAATCAAGTGCTAATTGAAAACTTAAGAGACAGGAATGGCAACAAAAATGATTACAGTTAAGAATGATGGTCCACACTAAAGTGACATAAAATTGCAGGAACCAAAACACAGATTTGTTTCTTTATTTCACATGAGTGTATTAAGTA